TCTTATAAGTCTTATAATACTTTTAAGACTTATAACTCCTATTGCTCTTATAAGTCTTATAATACTTTTAAGACTTATAACTCCTATTGCTCTTAAAAATCTTATAGGAGCTAAAAGATCGATTGCTTCTATAAGCATGAGATCTCTAAAAAAGTCAAGAATTAACTTAGCCATAAAATTAAACTGCAGTTAAGTTATATAGTTTCAGAAAGAAAGCTCAGAACCTAATTCTCTTATGTGACACTACATATTGCTATTACTAAATATATAATTAATTTTTAAGAGATCCAGATTTAAACCTGCTTCAGAAATCATTATAGAAAACAAAATAAACAACATATTAAAGTAGTGAATATTGCTCTTTCTGCTATTAATAATATAATTATAATTTTTTTAATAATTTATTCTATTTAATTAAAATACTAACTACTATATATAATTGGTATTTAGGTTTTACTAAAACAAATAAAGAAGGTTTTCAAAATGAAACAACATCAAGCTTTGATGAATCTAACATACAATTACAAGATTCTATTACAAATATAATTTAATATATATTATTAACTTACTTATTTTACATGTTATAAACTAACTACTTTTTTTCTAGATGAAACTTCAAAAATACTATTTAATAAAACAACCAACATTATTAGTTCTGATAATACATTAATTAAGAAGTGGTCTAGTGAACTTCAACTTGGCGAAAAAAAAGTGAAGCTTATAAACTGTAAAATTTTACTATTAATTTTAATAATTAATATATATAATTTGTAATTTGCTTATAACATTATGCTTTATTAAAACAATTAATATTTGGTGTTAGTTAATAAATTTTTATATACTCTGATTACTATATGTCAATCGGAAAGTTTGTCACTTATGCATTGTATTCTTTGTTTACAATAGAATTTGAGTTCCGCTTATACCTAATTATCTGGGATATAACCAATACATATTCTGCTTCTACATATAATCATTGTCTGGTCAATCAAAATGTCACAAGATCTGTACGATAAACAAAAAAAAGAAATAGAAACTAATGTCTAAACCTATTTCGAGAATTAAATAGTGAGTGTCAAACAAAATTTATTTCTTTATATAATGATTATTTCGTTTTCGAACGGATTATATTTAGATTTGTTTTTAATTTTATATTCCTACTTCCACTTATATCTATTGATACCTATATGCTTACTTTTCTTTTTTTTTTTCTCAAGGTATAATCTATGTGTCTTAATAAGAAGACGAAAAATGTTTATTTCTTTTCTGAGTTACTTGGATATAAAAATGAGTGCATAGGAATTTTTTTATTTTAGTTCGCTATTTTTTTTTTTTTTTTGAATGACAATATTTTTTCGTTTCTGGAACAAAATAGTGAAAGGAACTCACATTTTGTTTCGAATTTACTTAGGTTAGTTTTTTGATTTTATATTCCTACTTCGAAATAGAATAGTAGAAAGAACCTACATTTCATTTCTACCTATATCTATTATTAGTAACTATGTGCTCACTTTTCTTTTTTTTCTTATCTAGGTATACATTATTTTATTATTCCAAATAAGAAGAAGAATTTCCGAGTTTAGTTCTCATTTGAATACAAAAATGAGCACATAGGGGTTTTTTTATTGGTTTGCTTTATTTTTTTTTTGAATGATGATATTTTCTTTTTTTTCTGAGACAAAAT